ATCATTCAATACTTTCCCTGACTGTTTATTATCACTAGAAGCAACATACTTTAAAGCACCCAAGAGAAGGGGGAGAAATGTATCCTACAGCTAAAAAAAAAGTTGATTATTACCAAGTCAATCTCCCACCCCTTCCAACAGTTCTTGGATGCTTAACTAGCAATGGCTCGCCACGATACCTGCCTCCCGTTAATTCCTACCTAGCTCACGGTGCAGCCTTAGACGGGACACAAACCCTTTGCGTACTGATACTGTGGTATCAGTGCAGGTATCCAGAGGCCAGCTTTTGGGAGTTTGTTCTCTCCTTCCCCCAAGTGGGTCCAGAGATGTCAAACTCAGGTCCTCAGGCTTGGTAGCAGATGCCTTTATACCTGCTGAGTCACCTCAACAGCCCTCTCTGTGATGCTTTACTTGTTAGTAAAGTGGAGTCCATGATCACGTATTTCATTTTACTGCATTGGCTCACTCACTTTATGTGTGGTGGGTGCACACCTCTGCACTTGTGACCGTCAGAGAACAACGTGTGGGAGCCAGTTCTTTCCTCCTCCTGCCTGGGTCCTGGGGATCAAGCTCAAGTCATCAGGCTTGGTGCTGAGTAAGTACTTGATGAGAAGACATTTTAGACCCATGGCTACACATTCACAATTAGAGCTTGAGCTGAGCCATCCAACAGCTTACAGGCTCTGTGCGTGCCCTGGAGCCTCAGTTTCTCATCTACAGAGTAATTAATGGTAATGCTCCAGGAGGGGCTCGTATGTGAGATTCACTCGCATCAAGTCCCGAGTTCACTCCCTAGCACCGTATTAAGGACTGAGTTTTAAAAAATTAAACTGAGCCTATCTAGAGGCTCCAAGCAAGTAGCTCTACAACTGAAAGAATCGTATAAATGTTCCTATACGCAAGACCTTCTTAATCACATACGCTAGGTTCGGATGGCTGCTTTCTGAGTTTCCTTCTTGTTTTTAAATGCACACGACTTCAGAAGGCTTCAGGACTAAAGAGGCTATTTCTGACAGCCTGGGCATTACATTGATCTGCTTCTTCGTGAGTGCAAGTGTCATGAGGCTCCTTCCGGAGTGGGACTTAAGGATTATCGCGTGAAGATCCTCTCTCCGCTCTTGATCCATTCGCTACTGTCAACGCTGCTCCAATTTCCATTAAGTAAAGGGTTTTCTCTAATCCATGGACTCTGAGCTGTGCCTTTGACTTCTGGAGGTTCTAGTCACATCAAAACACAAGTGTGGGGCTAAGTGATTTGTCAGGCAGCTTTTAAAACTATTGCCTATAAAAGCAAGAGGAAAGGTTTGTCTTGGTTTAAGGCCAGGCTTGGACTGAATTTTTTTTTGAACTACAATCCCCAGAATGCCATCTACCTTGCAGAAATGAAAGCCTGCTTCAATTTTATGTTGAGAGCTTGAGATCAATTTATTTGTATCATGGCTCATAACTACTTAGATTTGAGTGACAGAACACCTACGAAAGGACCATATGACTAATATGAGGCAGAGGAAGGATCAATACCAGACCACACTTGAATCGCATTTTTGAGACATTATTTGGACAAATCCTTCAGTTCTGTTTCCTTTGTAGTGTGGAACTGGTCCTTTTACATCCAGTGAGTGGAGCACTATATTGTAACTGGTACTAAGTGTAGCCCATTTTAACCCTGCCCTGCAGTTTACACTCTATCACTAAACATTGCCAAGGCAGGGCAATCAGAGGAAAACAGAATTATCTAAGGGCCTCTGAACCAGAAGACGAAGCATCTAACCGTAATTTTGACTTTTGGAAGTAGACTCTTTTTTTGAGACATATTATGTAGTAATCAAGTAATTCCTGGGCAATTTGAACAAAACCAAGTTATGGTGCCTACTAAGCATGGGACAAAAAGAGGAATCAGGTAACAATTGGGAAAATGAGGCTATTCAGTGGAGTCACACAAGAAAACTTGGCACAGTGCAACAGACTTGGGGTCTGGAGAGATGACCCAGTGGTTAAGAGCCCTTGCTGATCATGTAGGGAACTCAGATAAGATTCCCAGCCCCCACATGGCAGCTTACAACCATCTCTAATCCCAGTTCCGGGGGATGTGTCATCCTCTTCTGACCTCTCTGGACACTTCACACATTGATGTACATATATACATGCAGGCAAAAACACTCATACACATAAAAAGAAAACATGAGAACAATAAAAAGACATCCTTTCTTAATCCTCATTTCATTGTTTTTTAAAAAATGTTTATTTACTAAGATTTATTTATTTATTATGTATACAGAAGTCTGCCTGCAGGCCAGAAGAGGGCACCAGATCTCATTACAGATGGTTGTGAGCCACCATGTGGTTGCTGGGAATTGAACTCAGGATCCTCTGGAAGAGCATCTAGTGCTCTTATCCACTGAGCCATCTCTCCAGCCCCTGATGTCCTCATTTCTGTAAGTAAAACTATTACCATTTACTATCATGAAGACTACAGACTTCCCACATCAGAGGAAGGATTAAAAACATAGAGAACCAAGTCAGATTCCATGAGTGTTTTGCTCACGTACTCACTAGATACAATGAGTGGGCATTACAGCAACTACTTGAAGCCTCACTGACAACCTTCTAGATGGCTGACTATAGTGTCTACCTACTAGGACCCCACAAGAGGTAACACATGTAAAGCATGTAGTACAATGATGGGTTCATGGGAGAAGTTCTATACATGGTAACTGTTATTACACTTACTGAGTGGCTTCCTTTATTCCTTCAACCTCTGTCACCAAGATCTGTCAATTTTTTCACATATAAACATTGATAATAAAAACAAACCAACAAGGATGCTGGTGTCTAGCCATGGTCTTAGATAGTCACACCGTAACATCTCTAGACACTGGAATACTGTGTAGCATTACACAGTCCATAAGTTCAAGTGTAGAAAAATATGCTATTTCCTTAAATGAAATTAATCAGCCACTGAAGACTATACCTAAATTGACCTTCTTTGGCTAAAAACATACAGATCACCAGCAATTAAAATTTACCAAAAGTAGAATGTTCTACCTTTTCAGAGTGCAGAGGTTTAAGATGTCTGGGCAATTATGAGGTCTGGGAACCCACAGGCACTGCGGGCAAATATTACTTCTCCTAAGATCGTATGGTTACATTTCAGAACAGAGTTCACATGTCCAACAAGGCACGGAAGGATGCGCACAGACGCTTTGTGAGACAAGACGATGAACAACCCAAACACATTCATCCGTGGGTGTGACGGTCAGTGTCAGCTGTCAGCTTGACAGGAACTAGAATCAAGTAGGAGACGCGCCTCTGGGTATAGCTGTGTGGGATTCCTAAGTTAACTGACACGAGAAGACCCATTCTAACCACTGGACACATAAGAAGGAGCCTTCACCCCTCCCTGCTTCCTGACTGTGGATGCCACGAAACCAGCAGCCTCGAGCCCTTGCTGCTGTGGCCTTCCTGCTGGGATAGACTATACCCCTGGAACTGTGTTTATTTCTCAAGGTGCCTCTTGTCAAGTGTGTGATCACAGCAGTGAGAGAGTAACTCGTGGTAGGAAATGGGCAGGCTGTACCTCCACACAACGTACCTTATTTATAAGATAGACAAAACCACAGCAGGGAAATGTCAAAGACATATTGTTGACCAAAGAGAACAATGATACTGCATGTATACACATATGCACATATCATCACCAGTTACAGGACCCATGAAAGAAACGGACAGGTAAAAAGGTGACAAAGAGGATGTACAGCCACACCAGCAAATCTTTGATGACTTCTAAGGAGGAAGATGGGGGAAGGATATGAGAAGGGCACAGGGAAACTGTGTCTTTCTTTTTTAGACATACGCGTCTCTGTGTATCTGTCTGTGTATAGGTATGGGCAGTTAGATGCAGGCACCTTTGGAAGCCAGAGGTGTCAAGATTCCCTGAAGCTAGAGCTCTAGGCAGTTGTGGGTGCTGGGAACCGAACTCTAAAAGCAGCACAGATTCTTAACCATTGAGCCATCTCTCTAGCCCCAACAATGAAATGGTTAAATTATATTTATGATTATCACTCTAAAATAATCTAATAATCTGATTTTTTGAGACTCCCTAATATGAAGACAAGTTTCATTTAAATGAAATGAAGGAGAGGAAGAAGGAAAAGACTCAGGTCGAGGTGCTGATTTTGGCTCTTAGAGACCTCTCCATGACTGTCCACCCTGGACAAGTCTTTTGAGAGGCTCTACAGCCAAGGCTCTACTTTGGGAGGTTGTAGAACCTTTGCAAATGTGGCCTAGCTAGGAGAAGCAGGTCTTTGCAAGTTGGCCTCCATGGTAACACCCACTGCAGGGTCCACTGGACTCTACTTCCTGCTGGTTCTAAGCATGAAGCTGCAGCCTGAGCATCCTCCATCACAGACCCAGTCTCTCCAGCTTCTGTGTCTCCCCACCACGACAGACTGTGGAACCATGGAAATGATGAATCCTCCTTCCTCTGCCAGGTAGTTTGCCACAGTAACAAGAAGAGTTACTAATGCCTCGTGACCTACAGAAGGGTGTCCTGGTTCTCTAGGCATGTTCTCGAGGTTGCTACACCCAGTCAATGATGACAGCATTGCTTAATTAAAGAGGAGGGCCGGTAGGCTGCAGCACACACCTTTAATCCCAGCGCTTGGGAAGCAGAAACAGGTGGATCTCTGTGAGTTCGAGGCCAGCCTGGTCTACAAAGTGACAGGGCAGCCAGAGAAACTCTGTTGAGAAAAAGCAAAGCTAGAAAAAACAGAAGGAAGAGGAGAAGGGGGGAAGGAAGAGGAGGAAGGGGAGCAGGAGGAGGATGAGGAGGAGAAGGAGGAGGAAGAGGCGGGGGAGAACGTGGTGAAATCAAGGACCACATCCCTTGGTTGCTTGGAGACGGCTTTTGCACAGTGCGCTCTAAGACAGCCCACCCTGTCGCACCTGGTGAGGCACTGGAAGCTAGTCAGCGTCACACCTTGCACAGCCCAGTTCCTTACCTGTGGTTCACACCACCTCCGGCTCCCAGGTCTTCCTTGCTGGCGCCGTGGGCTACTTTTCTGTTCACTTCCTCTTCGGTCTCACTGAGGCTTTCCTCGTCTAAGCTGTCAGGCTCCATGTTTTTGTCCTCAACCTCCGACTGGGACCTAACCTCTTGAGGGAGGCTTTCTGAATCTGATTCTAAGGAGTCTTTTGAAATCTGACTTACGTCTTCTTTCTTGAAGGATCTGTCTGAGGGTTGGGTCCTCAAGCTGGCATGATGGACAGGAGACTGAGTGGAGAGCTTGGGAACTGGTTTATGTTTACTCATCCTGAAAAACAGAAACACAAACGGGAGCGCATGTGTTAACAGAGCAGTTAGCTGACATGTATAATTGTGGCTGTCAAAAGCGTTGCTTAAAAATTATATTTATGTTACTCTGCAGCCACTGAAATCATAATGGCAATGTTTGTCAAAAACGTCAGTGAGCGTGAGCAAGAGAACCTTGTTACATTATCTCCAGGCTGCTAAATGCACCCCTTTGAGTGTATGAGCAAGGAAGGCCTATTGGAAAAATGATTGTTTTTCTCTCTGCAGAAACACATCTGATTTAGGGCCCATAAGCAGCCTGAGTCATCGAATGAGGTTTTATTGAGGAAATCAAATGGCTGCTTGGAAGCAGATTCCGTTTCCAGCTTCCAAGGGCTCCCTGCAAACAAGCCGAACAAAGCCTAATGGTTAATTGTGAACAGTGCTTTTGGTGGCTTTATTTCAAATGCCCAGGCCAAGTGTGGTGTGTGTGTGTGTGTGTGTGTGTGTGTGTACACATCCTGTTCAGCAGCAGCCACAGATGCACTCAAACAGGTTTAGGGTTTACCATTTAGAAAGTAAAGGAGAGAAAAGCATGGTTTCCCCAGCCGGAATGTAATACACAGACTGTTTCATTCCTAGACCAGCGTCAGCCGGCTCCATCATCTAGAAAAGGCTTTTGCTACTCAGGATGCTGCTAGACAGGAGTGTAGAATTTGTGGAGATCAGCCTCAGCTCAGCATTAGACAACAACAGCAATGTAATAATAACGGTTAAAAATGCTCAATAAACAAGGCGTGTCGGTGCATCCTGGTGAGCTCAGCATTTGGAGAGGGGAGGAAGGTCAGGTGTTGGAGGGAGGCCAGCTTTGGCTGCACGAGACCCTATCTAAAAACAAAGAAACAACAACAAACACAACAAAAGTCAAACTGTTCAACAAAAGGTTTGTGAATCCTGTCGCCTAGTGACTCAAAACACAGGCTGGGTGTCCACCTACCGGGAGTAGACTCTGTCCTTGAGCAGAGCTGGGTAGGTAAGTAGAATGGCCAGCATGACAGCTAGGAGTTAGTAGAGTCTGTCCCTTCTACCTTACTTAATGTGATTCCAAGTGAACCCTCACTGTCTCTGGGGGCTACAATAGTGACCCATGAGATGGTTTACAGAAAAATGCTTTGAGTTCCTGCAGGATTGGAAGATGATGGTTGGGGTTGGATTTCCTTTCATCTCTACCCAGTGTTTCTCTTTCGGTTCATCTCTTCTCTTACTGCCTTTAGGCTCTCTCTCTCTCTCTCTCTCTCTCTCTCTCTTTCTTCCCCCTCTCTCTTCCCTACCCCCAGTGTGTGTATGTGTGTGTGTGTGTGTGTGTGTGTGTGTGTGTGTGTGTGTGAGAGAGAGAGAGAGAGAGAGAGAGAGAGAGAGAGAGAGGAGACAGAGAGAGTCAGAAACCTTTACCATTGGAGCTATGCTCAAATTTATTTTGACTGCTTTGTTCATGTTCTTTTGGCTAATCTGGTTTTTAATTAAATACCTTGACCTGATTTCTGTTCCTTTGAATTACTATTATATTGACCTTGTTGCTAGGGTTTCCAAGGACACACTCTGATGCTTTAGATGAAAGCGTCTTAACACAACAGACAAAAGGTAGTGTTCATATTAAACAAACATGAGGTGATTCTCTGCAAACTTCAAGTTCCCTCTTTACTAATATGTCACCACCTAATGTTAGATGAGTTTGCCTGCAGTCTCTTATTAATATGCATGATCCATCACATTCTGCCATGTTTTAATACAGCTTTGCTTCTTATGGTACTTTTTAGAATGAGACAAGCATGAAGACATTTAAAATCTAAGTCACCATAAACACCAGTTTTGTTTATTTAAAAGGTCACCGTATTTGAAATCTTGAAAAACAAGCTTAAAAAGTCAGGGCTAGGGGGTATAGCTCACTGATAGACTATGCATGACCTAGCGTTTACTCTATGACTTCAGCAAGGAAAAAAAGTCATAGTTCATTTCAGAATTGCTTTTCATACGATAATCCAGATCCATCATTCTGTCTTTTGTTAAATAAGAACCCAGGGTTTCTTGGTAGTAATAAATAAGCAATGGCTATATATGATAATAATTTAGTTGTTGTTGACAGACTGATAAAATTTGGGAAGAACTGGAAAGAGTGAAATAATATTCCCCAAACTGCATTTTCTGAGAGAGAGAGAGAGAGAGAGAGAGAGAGAGAGAGAGAGAGAGAGAGAGAGAGAGAGAGAGAGAGAGAGAGAGAGAGAGATTACAGAAAAAGAGCTGCCTTCTCAGTAAGTGGCTGCATTTCCCTAGTAATACCCCTTACAAAAACTCCAGACCAAAACAACACGGGGAAAACAAAACAACGGTTGGGCCTCTGAGATTCCTGACCAATCCACTTCTTAGTAAACAAGAAAGGCACCGGCACAGTCCCCAGTATCTAGTAAGGAACCACCAGCTTTCTGTCTCTACTTGGGGACAAATCTGCTAGGGGCAGAGGGACAAGGAGGCCCGCTCAGGTTGAACAAGGGATCCAAAGATGCCCTGTTTGGAAAACAGGCTGGGTGGGTGCTGTCCCATGGGGATCTCGGGGTTTTCGGCGCCGTCGCGTCTTTCTAAGGGTCAGGACCGGCTGCAGGGGCCGTTTGAAGGTTCGGAGGTGGCGGGTAGGAGGCCCGGACAAGGGGCTGGGGACCAGGCTGTGCGGCCTGGGGGATCGCGGCCCTGCCTGGGCGCGGTCCTTCCTCCGGGACCTCAGGCTCTGAGGCTCCCTCGCGCCGGTCCCCGAGTTCTCGGTACACCCTGCCCCGCGCGGCCCCTTCCCACCCGCCGGGGACTGCCCGTCACCTGCCGGCGTTGCTGAGCGGCCGCGCCCCTGGCCCCCGCAACCTCCGCAGCCCCGGCTCCCGCTGCGGCTCCCGCCCCGCCCGCCGCTGCCTGGAGACCGGAGCCAACATCGCGCTGGCTCGCTCTGAGCCTCGGGACCCAGCGCTCCTGCTGCCCAGCGGCGCGGGGAACCCCCGGCTTGGGATGCTCAGGTTCAACCACCCCGACCCTCACTAGGAGGGAAAGCAGGGAGGGGAGAGCCCCTCAGTGATGCTGAGAGGGTAGGCGAGACCTACACACCAGGGAGAAAGGAACCCAGTTAGTGAATGGTAGCTGACAGGGAATGGGGAGGCAAGGAGAGAAGAGAGGCGGGAGGAAAGAAGAAAACAAGTGGCCAATAAGCATTTGACCTCCGTTGGAAAGGAACTTCACTCACTAATATTCAGAAGAGGGAAAATGAAAGCCACCCAGGACAGAACACTCACCACACAGGCATCCTAAGGTGAAAAGTTGGCCACCTGTTGGTGATGCCACCTGGGAGCAACGACAGACAGTCACAGGGAGTGGCTGGAGGATAAGGAGGGTGAGAGCCTGTCTCAAAAAGCTAAAACACGCAGAGGAACAGCGAACAGATAAACACACACCAGTCCCAAGGGCCAAGGGAATTATATGAATGAAGGACTATCAAGTGTGTGAACCTGTTAGCATTTGGAAACCGGTTTGGCATTATCTGGGATATGCAGGCACACCTTAATTCCCAGCAACCTCACCTTTAGACGTTCACCTGAAGGAAGCGTGTGTTTTTATGCATCTGTGACATGTTAAATCTGAGATGCCCACTCAGGCGCATGGGTTTGAACGCCTGGTTCCCGGTGGTGTGTTTGTGATTGGGGGTCTGGTTGGGGGAGGTGGGTCCCTGGGGCTGGCCTTTGAGGGTTATAGTCTATTGCTGAGTTCTCTGCTTTCCAGTTACCCAGGGATGTGAAGAGATTGTTCCATGCTGGCCTCTTAGATTCGGCCATACCTTCCCCACCTTGGCCGGCTGAAATCATAAGCCAAAATAGTCACCCGTTTTCTTGCTGTCTGGCATTTTGCCACAGTTATGATGAAAATACCTCATACAGCATCCAAACTGGTGAATATGGGAACAGGAAATTAAAGACCAGCCAAATCAAACTCTGCTGGCTTTGTAGGTCACACACAGCAAAGAAAACAACAACATAATAATACTTTTAAAAAGGCCCAAGTAGGAACTTATGTGAAGTTAGGACTCTGATCAGCGCAGATTGCTTTTGAGATTTGTTTGATGACCTTAATGGTTGGCATTGATGCTCATTTTAAATACTTCTTTAAGACATAACGTTTATGCAGGGTGGTGGCAGCACACGGCTTTAATCCCAGCGCTTGGGAGGCAGAGGCAGGTGATCTCTGAGTTTGAGGCCAGCATGGTCTACAGAGCGAGTCCCAGGACAGCCAGGGGGATACACAGTGTCTCAAAAAAGAAAGAAAGAAAGGGAGAAAGAAGGGAAGAAAGGAAAAGGAAGGAAGGAAGGGCATATATGTGTGTGTAGGACACCTACTATCAAAAATTGTTCAAAGACAAAGGAAATGATGGAAATTATATTCACATTCAAGACACAAATAGGTCTGTATAACTGCCTTCAAAGAGGCAAGAATGTCTACAGACTAGTAGCTTCACTAATAATGGGAAACAGGGAACTGGAAGATACTAGTTTTTACCACGTTTCAATCTGGTTCTTAGTATAGCCGATTATATTTTCACTTCCTTTTGACAGCAGGGACCTCTACATGCACAGTAAGACCCCAGTGTTCACTGACAAAGTAAAAATGAGTTATCTCCAGCATTTGTGTTATTCTGTCCAGCCCATTGCACGAACTACGATAGCAACCTCAAACATGCAGAGAAAACCCATGCAAAAGTATTCCTTCTTTGTAGCAGCTTGCAGCTGTGTTCCGAGGTATCAAGAGCGGACCGCTCACACCTGCCCAGCTCCTCGGCCACTAGTCAGAGAGGATCACTGCTGCAGTTCTTCAGCTGCTTTCTGCCTCATCAGGAGAGCATTCCTTCTGACTTCCTGCACCTCACCGTCCACCTGTGACTCACAAGTGGTGCGATCCAGCAGCTCCTTGTAGAGACACACCATCTCCTCAACATAGAACCCCCTGAAGTCTGCCCCCTTCCTCCTCTGCAGCAGCTTTCCTGCTTTTGCTCTGGTGTAACTAAACATTGGAATAACACAAATGACAATGCATGCCAGGGGGTTGGAATGATGTCAGTTGTTTTAGTGGAGATAATTCGACATGAAGATATGTTATGAAGAGTTGGAAAGGGGACACACTTCTCATGGGTGTAGTGACCATGGAAAGCAGTTTTGGTCTTTCTTGTTAGGGAAGCCCAGGATGGACCTGGAATCATTATCCTTGAGAAGCATGGAGAAGAGCCACTTGGGGGATGAGGAAGGACTAACAGAGCTGGCTTTGGGAGGAGCAGAGGGGACTCGGGTGCCTCTACTGCAGCCGGGAAGCCTGCAAGAGGCCCATTGGGAAAGGAGAAATATAGTTTGCATCAGGTGTGTGTGTGTTTGTGTGTGTGAGAGTGAGAGTCAGAGAGAGAGAGAGAGAGAGAGAGAGAGAGAGAGAGAGAGAGAGAGAGAGAGAGAGAGACCGCAGGTACCTGAGGAGGAATGAGGCAACACATCCTCCTGGAACACAAGTTACAGGAGGTTGTAAGTTCTTGGATATAGGTGCTGGGAACGGAACTCCATTCCTCTATGAGAGCAGCATGTGTTCTTAACTGCTAAGCCATCTCTCCAACCCTGAGCTTTCCTGCCTTAATAATAGTAATAATAATAATAATAATAACAATGACAAATTGTTTCACGAGCCAAAAACACCCTGGCAAAATTTATTTTTTCTTTTAAAATATTAATATAGTGTTTGCCCGAATTTAGGCTTTTCTAGAAATTAAGTATCAAACTGTATGATACATTTGGGGAGAATAGAAGATATTTTTGCTTGCTGTGACTAGGTTTACTTGTATCTGAAAACAAGAAGCAGAGGAGACAAGATGGGGGAAATTAACATATTTCAACTCTGATGACAGATCTGCTCATGAGTGCATTACAGGAAGGAAGAGGGCTTCTTCTCTCTCAGAAGATTCAGGATGGTAAAAAAAATACAACTGCGTTTCATCTAGATCAAACCCCCTTTATGAATATAGCAAATTACCATGACTTCGGCCAGAGGAAGTGATGGGAGATTATGTTGTTGGGTTAAATTAGTGGACTCATTAATGGTCAGCAGTTCAAACTACCTTCTTCATCTACAGGGAGCCTCGTGTGCTCAGAATGTTGGGTGGTTGTCATTTTCTCCATTTTTACCTGATGACAGATAGTGTGGATGATGATTGGAGCCGGAAAACCTATTCATTTATTGTAATGGGGTAGCATGATCAGCATTCTTTTGACTTCCTTCCTAGAAGGCAGCACTGAGCAGGCTCTGTCCATTCTTCTCTGGCTCCATCTTGCCATGAATGAGACAACAAGAGCATGAAACCCCTTCTTGTGTAGGGGAAAAGGCAGGATCTTGCTTTGGGTGTTGCAGGAGCTCAGAGGCTCAGGTCCTGATCCCAGCTATTTGACTCACTAGTTGCATCTTTGGTAGCTGTTTGGCTGTGCCTGGGTCAGTGTACTTCAGCCAATAAACGGAGCTTGATTTGTGTTTTCCAGGATAATGACTGTTCACGAAACTGCCTGCTCTAGGATTTCAAGCTGCTCCATTTGGAAGGTGAAGGTAACTGTAGATCCAGCTTGCCTGGTTTGAAAAGCGATCAGCTCTCCAGTTCATGACAGCTCTGACACAGCAACTCAAGAGCAGTAAGGACGCGGGACTTCCTTCTCTTCCTTGCCATGTCCTTGGCACAGTAGCCTGGCCCACTGAAGGAGTAATGGTGGCTCCAGACATCATTTATAGTTTCATTTTCAGGGAAGGATGTTTTGATTCTGAAGGCCTCCTTTTATCACTAAGAAAAGTCTTTTCTGTACCAGGAGGTTTATACATGTGAGGCCATCTTGGACCACGTGGCAAGATCCTGTCTCAAAATGTGTAAATAAACAACAACAAAAATCTTTTCTAGAAACCTATCAAGAAGCCGGGCGTTGGTGGCACATGCCTTTAATCCCAGCACTCGGGAGGCAGAGGCAGGCAGATCTCTGTGAGTTCGAGGCCAGGCTGGACCGACAGCCTCCAAAACAATACAGAGAAACCCTGTCTCGTAAAACCAAAAAAAAAAAAAAAAAAAAAAGAAACCTATCAAGAACTCCTTCATGTCTCAGTGGTCAGTGTTGTTTTAAGTGATTGCATTTATTGTAATATTTATTCTACCTCCATGGATGCGACAAATCTTAGGTATCAAAACAGGTGGCTTTGCACTTACATGTACAACTCTTGTTGGTATCCCCAAAACAATAGGCTGTAATTGCTATCCATGGGTCATTTACATTGCACTAAGTATCATTTATAATCTGGAAGTGATTTACATTTTCAGAAGGATATATGTAGTGTATAAATGAATATCACACTGTTTTATATAAGGGACCTGAAAATACTCAGATTTGGTGTTTTGGGAGATGGTGACAGAGAGATCCTGAAAGTGTCCCCCATAGACACCAGGGGTCACTATTTGTGGGTAAAATACATCTGAACAAAACTGGGTAAAATCAAGTTACATAGAATCCTTTATGATAACTTTTGGGTCCTGTATGTTGAAGTTATAATGTTTGATAGTTCTCAAACTTATATGACAACGGGAGACTTCCTTTTAAAAAATAGTTAACATTATTTGTTCTTTTTCGTGTGTATGTGTATGAATGAATGTGCCATGGCACACGTGGGTGGTCATAAGTCAACTTTCAAGGACCTATTTTCTCCTTTCACCATGTGGGTCCCAGATACTGAAATCAAATCTTCAGCATTTGCAGCAAGAGCCTTACCTGCTCAACCATCTCACCACCCCAGAAACCTTTCTACTAATATTTCCAGGACATTAATTTTCCTCAACATACATTTTAATGCCTGACATA